ATGCTTACTATTATTATTATCAATGATCGGGGAAAGATCAAAATGTGTGTTAAATAGGGCACAATCGAAGTCTTCATACGTTTACTCTTATTTGATTTGGAATAAAATATCCTTCATGCTAATTCCATTTAATTCTTTGACGTTATAATTCTTTCATCACTCATATTCGTAAGATAAAAAAAAAGATTTTTAATATTCCGTTATTTCGCTTTTGTATGTCGCATATACTATATGGCTTCCTATTTGTTTGTATCACACATTTAAATCTTTGATATCGTTTTTGTAATTACTAGCTTGAGCAGCTTTTTGTAAATTTCCAAATTGGCTTTTAATAATATAGATGTAGTACACTCGCTACTAATTAAATCCTGTGTGTACCATGAATTTTCGTGCCGTTCACTTTATGCGCGATATTTTTCACTGTAGGGTAATTTTCGTTTTATTTCTGGACCTTCCGCATGGTTGTCAACAATTTCTTTCACGCATGTAATTTTCGTCGGAAACAAATTTCAATTTTTTAGTAGCTTATACAATGAATTATATAGAAATAATACTAAAACACACATTTCCATTGTGCAACCGACATTTTAAAATGAATTAACTATCATTACATACGGATATTTGCCAGTTACGAGTAATATGAATACGAAACGACGCATAGAGGTACAATTACAGTAATGCATCTTGAACTCCCAACAGATGTTCTGAAGATTAAGTTTCAAATTTATAATGTTTCGCACCATGGCAAACATCCATTTATGATTTTTATTACCACTCCAATTTCGAAAAATATTGCCGCAGATCAATGAAAACGAAATTGGTTTGCTTAAATTGAAGTCGACCTCGTTGCGTTTTTGTCTCTTAACTCATATTTCCACTAATAAGTCACGTAGGGGAGCTGTAATAGAAGAGCGATGATTTACACACTTATGGCATCATTGGCATCTCGATAATAACCGAAATTTTCTCATTATCCACCTACGGTAATTGGAATATTGATATTCAAGTCATTCGAGATTTTTTGAATAATTCATTACAGGAAGCAATTACTGAATAGTATGAATATGAAGAGCAGCGACAATTAAATCCTTTTTAATTGTGGTCTATTTTAAAATGTCCAATTTAGTCTCTTTTGTCGAGGTAATTTGTCGTTCTAACCAGCATTTCAGCAAATGGTTTTTGTGTAAGTGTGATTATGAGTGAACTTATTCTCGACCGGAAGCTGGAATGCTGGAATTGACAATGACTAATGTTTCTAAAAAGGTATTATTTTACTTTGGTTGGCTTCCTTTTAAATAATGTTACTTGTGCATAGTTTGACTTTAGCTTTTTTGTAAACCTTTGCTATTCCTTTTGGCTATTTGCTAGCAGTTTTTCAGATGACCAGTTTACTATTTTTTGAATATGCGAAAGGAACATTTTAGTTATCCATTTCAGAATTCGATCAGGAGTTATCGTAAAACAAAGGGTGTATTTCAAATTTTGATTTACTGTGAATATGAGTTAACACGATTAAAATTTTATTACCGTTTGTTCCTTAATGGGTGCGGGTGATTTTGTTAATTCGTTTGCAAACTGCTTCCACATTTATACTTTTCCTGCATTAAATGCCTACTTTAGTATTAAATCATCTGCAAATTCGCATTCAGATAAACCATCCTTTGTACTATTTTTCTGTATTTTTCCTTCTAATTGTCTACAATTGATTCTGAATGCAATCACTCACATCTTAAATGTTTATTATTATTTGTTAAATATAAGTGTTCATTGTATTCTATGTTCTTGCTTTAGTTTACACTTTTAATTTTCTCTGTTGCACTTCCCCATACTAAAGTTCTTGGACATTTTTTATATCTATGATTTCGATGTGGTTTTTCGACTTTCTTTTTCGAAATTCGAAATTCTTCTTAATTTTAATATAAACAAAAAGTCTTGACCTTTTCTTTCCTTTCCGCAATCATTCTTGCTGGTTTGCAAGTATTTCGCATAACTTTCTATTAATTGATTAATTGACTTTCTATTATTAATTAATTGTATACATTTTAAAGATGTTGTTCTATCTAGATTTTTGTAAACTGGATTGATTGAACCTTCTACTTCATACTCTTTTATAGCGTTCGGTTTGTATTTTTATACCGTCTGCATCTCACTTTTGCAACATTTCAATTATAGTTGACTCGTATTCTGTCGTTTCCTTCTTTTCTACATTTTCACTCATTCTGCAGCATTCCGATATTTATCCTGTTGTTAATTAATTTTGCCTAGTCTGTACACATCAGTTCTCAAATTATTTCTTAGTGCTTTAGGGCGCCAAAGAGAGTTCCTGGCTACTTTTACTATAATCCTTCATATTTGAGTGTTTGTTGAAATGTTTCCCACTTTTATTTTGCGCTGCATTTAAGATATTGTCTAGTTTTTTATACGTTTCATTTATATATTTTTGTAATTTAAATGTATTCTACATTTCTCTGTACCTGCACTAGCAGGAGATTCTAATAGGTGTACTTACTTTTGCATATACCGATCCTTTACAACAATAATAATCAGGAGCAAATTGGCAACTAGAGCGACAAGGAAAACGAAAACATAAATGCCAATTACAGTGAACTGATTTTGTTTCAAAGCTTCATAAATTTGATCATCTGTTAAGTATTCATTGTTCACTGGATCCGTTGTGTTGTTCATTGTGGTAGGGTCTCTTTATCTGAAACAATAAAAGCCAGCATGAATCCCCCTACATAATTACAATATGCATTGTGATTGGGAAACTGGGGTAATTTAATTTTGTTCGTTTCTTGGTGACGTTTTGCTCTGCAATTATCGTGCTTTTGATAGCAAAAAATAGTCAAGTTTCACAGCTTATTTTTTGCTTGCTCTTTAGTTTCCCGGAAATTGTCTACTTTTACATATCTTTTAATATAAATGAACTAAATTAACTAACTTGACAATTGACCTTTGTTAAATGGAGTAAAAAGGTTTACGCCATTCTTTATTGAAGTTTCAACAGTTTTACATTATTTGTTAAAAAGGTAATAAATATTTAAAACTAGATATTTGCAAAACATTAAATTTGATGCTGTTTACGAACTCAATTTACCAATGACTTAGAGGAATTTTATTTCAGTACTTTAAAAATAAATTGCTACTTATAGAATTGATAGTAAATATATCAATGCACTAAATTTGATGATACGCAAATCACGAGCTCCGTATGTTTGTTTAAAATCCAGTAATTAATTGACACTTTCGCATTTAATCTACTCGATGTAGAATCGAAACTAAAACATTCGAAGTGCAAAATATCTATATAGATATTTGATGTTTTTTCAAATTCCAGAGAATTGCCTCGGTAAAAATAACACATTTTTTAATAATCCACCATTCTATGAAATACGTATATAAAACGTGAATACTTCGTATTCACCGGGAAAACCAAGCTGCGCAGATTTATAATATTTGTAAGCATTTTCTATATTCGAAGTTAATTATCAAACTAACAAAGGTTCATTACGAGTGCGATTTTTCCATATGTTAAATAGGTGAAAAACTAGACAAGCTGGTAGTTGATGGATAATGGAAAACTTGATCATTTTTTCTACGTTGCTGATCATACCGAAAACAGATTTGTGTTTTTATTGTACCTATTTTCTGAAATCGAGTGTAGAAGTAAAAGAAATAACGCGGCGGTGAGCTGAATATGTAGCTCTGGTTTAACTGTGCGCTGCAATTTATAGTAAAAAATGTAACTGGCGCTGATATTCTTAAACCGAAATGTTCTCCATTACTGCAATCTGTTTAAATTGCATTTGCAACTATCTGAACGTAAATGATTCATGATTAAAGCGATACATTGCGACACAACACCATTAATTTTCATTTATGTTTCCATCGGAGTAATAAAAAGTCAACTAAACACATCGTTAAATTGGCACTGTTTGCAAAGTGGTTATGTTTCTCTCGTTAGTCGCAATAAATCCGTTCATTAATTTGGGCAATATAGTTTTAGATGAAAATAATGAAACGGATGGATATACAAAGCTTTGAACTGCCACACTTTTCCTCAGTGGTTATATAATTTTAGTTATTCACATGCAAAGAAGGACTATTGACAATTCTATTAACTGAAACGTAATAAACGTTGCACTCAAACCCAGTACTGGTGCTGCATGAAAACTTCCTTTTGTAGCTCCTTCCAATTCAGTCACTCAACAATTGAACAAGAATTGTACATTCTACACGTGGAAACTCCCACAGCAATCTATTTAATCTCGTTTCACATAATCTCATACATGGAGCAATTTTTTGAATATTACAAGTGGTATAATTTGACAGTGGTAATATTTTCAGACACGAACTCTTATAGTCGTTTAAAGCAAATTTCATCATGCAGAAAGCCACAAAGCCCTTGTGGGGATTTCCATTTGTACGCAAGTTAAATACCAATGGACACCAAACTGGTTAATAGATTAAAGTGGCAACTTACTAATAACTGAAATTTGCAGCTATGCATGCCGCATTCGCTATTAATTCAATTACCACTAATATATTCGGAATGCGAAATATATTCGGAAGTGCTGGGCGAAAATTGGCAAATTGCTATGACTGTCTATTATTCTCCTATGTACAGCTAAGATGCCAATGTGAATTTGTTCATAAAACAATTATTTTTGCTATTTTTACATTTCATTTGATGTATTTATGTTTCATGTGCCCCTTCATCATGAGCCATATCTAGCTTGTTTCTTAACTTTATCTGTAGCTGTGTCAGATAGTCTTGAAATTCAGGGCTTAGGTCTTGAGTGTTTTCAATATCACCTAATTTATTTTTTTCAGTTTTTTGTCTAGATCTGGTTTTCTTAAAACTTCATTAACTCAGGTCTCTATCGGTCATCGTTGTTTTAGTACTTGTGTCGCAAAAAGCATTCTTTAGTTTTCTGATGTTGTCCAATTTTTCATGAGTTTCAACCATAATATATTTTGATTATAATTGACTTTTGAATTTGAGGCGTGTTTGAGAATTACGTACAGATACATTTAAATGCGATTACAGCGACCAAGAGGTACGTGTTTTTCGCAGATTAGAGGCATTGTTTTTTTTATGAAATCGAAGGAGAAACCAACATATGTAATTTTAGCAGGTTTCAAATTGCGCTTAAAATGCTTTGCTATTATACTATATTTTGATCAGAGATCAAGGACGATGTGATCCAAAATAATATTTTAGGTTTAATGTGTTTTCCAATAGATTTGAATAGGTAAATAACGCACACACACACACACGTAATAACCCTGTTAAATGTTAAACCCATTTAATCGTTTTACTAAATTACCATTTTTGTCTGAAAACATTGATAAAATCTCTATTTTTACTGTTATTGAATGTAACATTATCTTTGTGTGGAATGTTTGCATTATTATTATTAAATAAACTATTAATATTTT